GTACCACAGGGCGGAGTAGCTGTTCTGGGCGGGACGGCATCAAGAGGCTGACCTCTCGTCGAGGATGGAAGGGGTCTTCTGCTGCGTCGTCGCATGTGCGCGTGCGCGGTGCATTGCCTTGTCGGGTCACGAGTGTCTTTCGCCTCAGCGAGGTCTGGTGCGCAGCGTGAGAGGGATTCTCTATGGTGGATGGATCCTCTTAGTGGCTGCAGGGTAGCGGAATAGTATGAAGAGAGAGTAGAGCAGGACTGTTAGTCGTGCTATGCGAAGCAGGAGTATCGGGACGATTGGATGAAGTCATCAGTAGAACCAGGAATGGAACGAAGTGATGCAATGAAATGAATGTGTGGTGGAGAACACCAAAAGTAATCGTGAGATGCAGTAACACTGAGAAAGTGTGGCCTCAAACTAGAAGATGCGTGTCGCTAAGACATGCTTACACTACTTAATCCGCATGCTGTCGGAAAAGATGGCTAGAGTTCCGGATCCGCGGGGTACGGGGCGGCAGCCCTGTGCAGCTCGAGCGTAGCGACGCTGCTTAATACACGAGAGTGAATGATGAAATCATATTTTCTACTCACAGAGAGAAACCATGGCTATGCAACAACAAACACAGAGTGTGGGAGCGTGGCTGACGCCGAAGGTGGCATGGCGCGTGACCAACAGACGGACGAGGCGACGGCGAGCCAAGGGGTCGTCGTCAACGAAGTTCGTTGACCAAAGTGGATACGACAGGGAATAATTTGGCCTTTGGACGAATCAGAACGCCCATCTAGCGAGCATTTGGTGCGAGCTCTGTATGATTCACTTGTAAGATGGGCGTTGACCGTTGACAGAGTGGGTCCTTCGGACCTACCTGTTTGACCTATGAGGATGTGGCCTGCTGGCCACAATCCGTTACCCTTTTGGGACACCAACTGGGTCAGTTGGTTCCCACTTTCGAAGATACATAAGGGAGGGCTGGTGCCCTCCCAGAAGTTGGCGGGGGGCGACAATTCTTCTTCCTCTTTCATTCCCTGCGGGAATTCCAGCGGAGCGATACTCGGGACGAACACAACACAGGGAGGTGTTGATTTTCCTTTTCTTTTTCTCTTCTTCTTTCTCGCGATGAGCGAGACAGAGCCTCTGGAGGAGGGCTTGCTTGCGTTTCAGCGAAGCCTGTGCACGTTCTTGGACGTGGAGGAGGCGGATCTGGGTCCGCTATGTGTGTTCCCGTGGCTGGACGGCGACGGGATTGCTGCCCTGGACCGACTGAGGCAGGGAATCAGAGGGCGTGAGGCCCGGGAGGATTTAGTCGCTCTGGTGGAGCACTGTTACGACGTGAGTGAGGATGCGGCAGGCAGTGGGGAGCACTGTTACGACGTGAGTGAGGAGGGGTGTGTCCTCCTTCGGTGTTGGGCGACGAAGTACGATATACCATTGCGTGATTCCGATGCGGAGTGGAGGGGGGATCCGGAGGAGGTTGTCGGTTTCTCCTATCGGGAGACGATGCTGCGAGCCGTGGCCGGGTATGTTGTGAGCGGGGGCTCTCTAACTGGCGCGCCTATATCGTTGGGAGACCGGAGGTGGGCTGAGCAGGTCTTGTGCGCGGAGCAGGCGTGTGCGGATTGTCCGGGGGAGGACGCCGATGCGGCATGGAAACACATAGTGAGGAGGCACTTGTTCCTGGAAGACCTGGCGGATGCTAGGCTGGTCTTCGTGCTGTACAGTCTCCTTGTCGTGGCAGACCGGTTGTCGCCACGCGATGGTGTGTGGAGACCGTCCTTTGTGCAGAGTCTGGGACTCTTTACGGGCTTGGAGAAGGTGGAGGATCATTTCACGAGGGACGCGTTAGAGCAGGCACTGCGTGAACATGCTTTCGTGGAGGAGTTGCAGCTGCAGGTGCGCGAGCTGGAGGCCGAATCAGCCGGAGACGGGTGGCGGTAATCCCGCTAGTATTGTCCCGTGAGGGCTTTCTGGCGTACTTTCTGAATACCCTTTGCTGCGCGATGGGTCACTCTTGGGCCGGTAGGCTTGTGAGTACGTGGCTTCAGTCACTTACAGCGTGTGGCAGTGTCATACCTTGTGATAGTAGTTTGGGCAGTTCGATAGAGAGAGCATGCACATGGTATCGGGACGTGATTGAATCGATGTAGTAGCAGCAGGTGATGCGAAGTGTAGAATAATCAAGAACGAAGTGAATAGTGGAACACCAAGCAGTGAAGTGTGCGTTGGAGCAAAACACCAAGAAACATCGTGAGATGCGTGAAACAGTCACTTGTGTGACCTCAAATGTGCGAGATGCGTGTAAGCTCAAGCATGCTGGTGGTCTGGTACCACTAAATTCCTTAAAAAGAGGTACTTCTTTTCCGGAACCGCGGGGTACGGGGCGGCAGCCCTGTGCCACACGAGCGTAGCGACGTGGCGAATAACCACGGAAGTGAGATGATGAAATCATATTTTCTACTGCAAAGAGAAACCATGGATATGCAACAACAAACACAGAGTGTGGGAGCGTGGCTGACGCCGAAGGTGGCATGGCGCGTGACCAACAGACGGACGAGGCGACGGCGAGCCAAGGGGTCGTCGTCAACGAAGTTCGTTGACCAAAGTGGATACGACAGGGAATATTTCGTCGATTGGACGAATCACAGCCCATCTTCGCGACCATTTGTATGGGCGCTCTGTATGATTCACTTGTAAGATGGGCGTTGACCGTTGACAGAGTGGGTCCTTCGGACCTACCTGTTTGACCTATGAGAGATGGGCCTGCTGGCCCATATCGACTACCCTTTTGGGACAGGAACTGGGTCAGTTCTGGCCCCACTTGGATTTACATAAGGAGGGCGCAGCCCTCCGTTGCTGGAGAATGGGAGGGACGATCTTTCTCTTTCTTTTCATTTCCGGCGGAAACATAGGGGAACGACGACAACGGAGTGCAAACAGAGAACGGAGGCTGTTTTTTCTTTCTTTCTCGAGGATGCGCGGAGAGAAGGTCGCGCTGGGGCGCTCCCTCTTTTGGATACCATGGCGTGAGCCAAGCGACCGCTGGTTGCGGGCGGGTAGTACCGGGACGGGAGCTGAGGAAGTGAGGGCACTGAACGACCGGATCGGTAGGATGGTATGTGATGCATACCAGATGGAAGGCTGGGGAACCTGGGACAGGGCTGCGGAGGACGCGGAAGGAGCGCTGCGCGGGTGGTGCCGGGAGCACCAAATTCACATGGAGACGGAGGACATATGGAGCCAGGAAATGGCGGGGGCAGAAGTGCTGTCGAGGAAGGAGGTCTTCCACTGGGCGGTGCTCTGTTGCTATGAGAAGGATGAGACGCTGAGGAGCCTATGTCCGACTCGGGTGGAGTCGGCTTTCGAGAGCCTGGAGAGAAGGCTTGCGGTGCAGTGCAGGTTCTGTGTTGCCGGGGGCGAGTGGCGGCGGTGTCGCTGTCCCGTGGCGGTGCAGTTCAGGCGAGTAGGGAGCAGAGGCGACCTTGGGCTGTTCCAGCTGGTGTATGCGCTGTGCGCGCTTTTGATCCTGGGGGATCGGTACGGAGTTGAGTGCGAGGAGGCTTTGTGTCGCCTCGAGAGCCGTCTGTCGGACGGCGTGGGTGCAGAGGACGGTTGAGTATGCCTTGAGCTACCCGTTGTTGTGGTGGAGGCAGGGGATCTTCTGCCTCTCTCCTTCCTGTGGACCGCGGTGCATGGTACGCGACACGAGTACCGAGGGTTGCCTTATCGATCTTCTGACAGGAGATGCGGTGACGTAGTCTGGGGTGTGGAGGACCGCACTCGATCATATGACCAGGGATGGTTTTTTACAAACGTCGGTGCTGTGCACCACTTGAGTCTTGCTTGGAGGCACCAGTGCTTGCGTGGGCTTTCCCCAGGCTTCTCACTCCCATTCCCACTGGATTCAGTCTAGTGGCTGGCGCGACTCCACGATGGAATTCGTGTGCAGAACAATACAACTAGTGAATAACGTGAACGGTGGACCAAACAGGAAATGGAATGAACCAGTGATATGAACCAAACGAAATGTGATGAGCAATGCGTGAGATAACCAGCAATGAAATGAAATGAAATGAAAGGAACGGAGTGATGGATTGACTAAAAGGTGGAGCAAACCTCCAAGAATGATCGTGAGATGGTGAAACACTAGTGAAGTGGAGCTTCAAAAACTACAAGATGCGTGTCCTAAGACATGCTTTTACCCTGCTTGTGCAGATAAATTCCTTAAAAAGAGGTACTTCTTTTCCGGAACCGCGGGGTACGGGGCGGCAGCCCTGTGCCACTAGCTGCGCAGCAGCCGTGGCGAATAACTCGAAGAGACATGAAGAATGAATGCTGTTACTACTAGTAGAACATATGGCTATAACAACAACAACGCTGGAAGCTGGGAGCGTGGCTGACGCCGAAGGTGGCATGGCGCGTGACCAACAGACGGACGAGGCGACGGCGAGCCAAGGGGTCGTCGTCAACGAAGTTCGTTGACCAAAGTGGATACGACAGGGAATAATTTGGCCTTTGGACGAATCAGAACGCCCATCTAGCGAGCATTTGGTGCGAGCTCTGTATGATTCACTTGTAAGATGGGCGTTGACCGTTGACAGAGTGGAGCCTCGCTCCATCTCTTGCTACCCTATCAGAGATGGGCCTGCTGGCCCATATCTGTTACCTAAAAGGGACGAAAGTGGGCCACTTTCTCCCACATGGCAAACTACAAAGGAGGGCGGGAGCCCTCCCCAGAGAAAGCAAAGGGAGTTTCTTTTCTCTTCCTCTTTCATTCCCGGGGGGAACGACAGCGGACGCGACAACAACGGAGTGGCACAACAAAGACGGAGGAAGGTTGTTCTTTCTTTCTTCTTTTCTTTTCTTTCCGGAGGAGAAGAGCAGTGAGAGCTGCGCACTTTTTTCTATTGTCCGAAGGACAGTGGTCGTGGGAGACGATGACGAGCTGTGAGAGGCCTGGGAAGAGGCTTTGTCGTCCGGGGGACGGGGAGGAGTTGACGGAGGAGGAGCGGTGCCAGTTGGCCAGGATGGAGGGGCTGCTGAGGCGGCCCTTGGGACCCGAGTTTGTGAGTACGAGGGTGGGCAACGGAGTGCCTCAGGTGTCGTATCTGTCGAGCGGGGACGCGGTACTGCTGATGAACTTCATTTTTGGAGCTTTTGGCTGGAAGTCAGAGCTGATGAGCGAGAAGCTGGAGGTGAAGCCCGCGCAGGGCGGAGGTAAGATCGACTGCGATGTGCAGGTGGTCGTGCGTGTGACGGCGTTTAGGCCTGGTCCGAAGGAGGACCCGTTCCATGATGGATCTGGCTCTGGCAGGGGACGAGGTGTGAACCTGTCCGATGCGCTGGAGAGCGCTAGGAAGGAGGCGTCGACAGATGCGAAGAAGCGTGCTATCATGAACTTTGGATGGGCGACCGGAGGTTGCATGTATGACAAGGCCTTCACGCAGTGGGCGGCGGAGCACAAGAAGGGCGTGCACAAGCAGGATGTCTTTTCTTCCTTCTTCCGTCGGCAGATGTTGACCAGGGCGGAGGTCTATGGTATCACTACTCCGGGGGAGAGCACAGAGTTGGGGATGATTCCCCTTGATGAATCGCCTCGTCGCGTTCAGGTGGTGTCGGTGCGTGAGAGCGTGCACCCTGCAGGACGTCCAGTCTTGCACGAAGACTACGGGAGTGACGGAGAGTACGAAGAGGTGGACTTTGGGAGCCTGAGTCAGTATGACAGGAAGCCCCAGCGGGGCCTACCCTCTGCCAGGTAGACTGGTGGTGTGGGCAGTGCGCTGCCTTGATGCGGCGTGGAAGCCGGTAGAATAGTGATGACTTCTGTGGGCACCCCAAGTGCCTGCCACTCGCAGTGATGCGACACTTCAAATGAACAGAGTGATTACGACAAGGAGGTGAATAGTGATGAACCATGAACAATCGAAACGAAGTGCACGGTGGAACAGACGAAGAAATGAGCAGTGTGATTGATTGATTGAAATGAAGTGTGAGAACAAACCTCCAAAAAACATCGTGAGATGACTAAATGTGAAGAAAGTGGAGCTTCAAATCCTCGAAGATGCGTGCAGCTAGAGCATGCCCTTAGTCTGGTACCGAATGCTGTCAGAAAGAGGTACTTCTATTCCGGATCGGCGGGGTACGGGGCGGCAGCCCTGTGCCACTAGCTGCGCAGCAGCCGTGGCGAATAACTCGAAGAGACATGAAGAATGAATGCTGTTACTACTAGTAGAACATATGGCTATAACAACAACAACGCTGGAAGCTGGGAGCGTGGCTGACGCCGAAGGTGGCATGGCGCGTGACCAACAGACGGACGAGGCGACGGCGAGCCAAGGGGTCGTCGTCAACGAAGTTCGTTGACCAAAGTGGATACGACAGGGAATAATTTGGCCTTTGGACGAATCAGAACGCCCATCTAGCGAGCATTTGGTGCGAGCTCTGTATGATTCACTTGTAAGATGGGCGTTGACCGTTGACAGAGTGGAGCCTGCCTCCACGACTGGCTGACCTATGAGGATGTGGCCTGCTGGCCACAATCCGTTACCTAATCGGGACAAACTGGGTCAGTTTGGACCAACCTTGAAAGTACATAGGGAGGGCGGGAGCCCTCCTGGAAAGATGTTGGGGTGCGGCATTCTTTCTTCCTTTCTTTGCAGCAGCAAACAACAGCGGAGCGATAGCAGGGACGATACAAAGTAGGGGACCTTTTGTTCTTTTTTCTGTACCTGGGCGGCGGAGCATTGGAAGCAGCGGAGGGACGATGGCGAGCTCTGCTGTGGGAACGAGGTATGTGAGAGTTGGTGGATCAACTCCGGGCTTTGTGCCCGTGGAGGAGTTCATGTCCGCTGGGAGCGGGTACACTGGAGGAGAGCTGGGCGACACGGGAGTGGGAGCTGTCCCGGCCTGGGAAGGCGCGGAGGAGTATGAAGAAGACCGGGAGGGTTCTGAGGCGTGGATTGTGCCGCTTGGAGTGTGGCACGCGCTGAGAGTGCGACCGAAGGAGCAGAAGGAGGACATGGCGGAGCGTCTTTTGTCACAGGTGTGTGTGGTGCTGGAGGCAGCTGATGGTTCTCTTTCCCTGGCACGCGTGGAGCAGATGCTGTGGTCTGTACTGGCGCGATGGGCGCGGCAGTTGGATCTGGACTTGGTGTCCGTGGATCTACCTATGGGAGGTATGGAGCAGTCGGGGACGTTGACGAAGCCGGAGCTGATATTGTCGTATGTGGGATGTGCGCAGCATATCTTCCAACAACTGGAGGACAGTGATGAGCCAGGGCAGGCTTGGCACTGTATGTGTGAGGATCTTGCTGGGGAGCCGGAGGAGGAGCGCTGTGCTGGCCGTGTCTGGCAGCTGGTTCGGACCCACTGTAACCGGTATGGCATGGAGGCATGCGGTGCTTCGGGACAGAGCATTCTTTCTTCTATGGAGGAGAAGAGAGGCTTCCTTGTCTGGGGCCCAGCCGACGCTGTCGGGTTCGGATTCTTCATGGGCGCCATTGCTTTTCGCTTGCTAGCCGAGGCTCTCGAGGAGCCGGAGCTGGAAGTCATTTGTGGTGCTTGGCTAAACTTTTGCAGCAAGCATTGTTGCGGTGCTTATGACTGAGCGGCGCGGTGGACAGGTGAGGTGCCTGGGTGCACTTGTGCGCGGGATGTCGGCTGTGCTGACCGATGGCCTAGTGGACCTGTCGGAGACTGGTCGTGGTGAGCATGAGCTATCACGGGATAGTAGAATTCACGTCAGGTTGGAGGCGAGTTGTACGAGCCGTGCGACTTGGTCGATCTATGAAACGATGGAATGAAATGAATGAAATGACTAGTGGAACCAACAATGAACGAAGTGAATGACATGAAGTGAGAAGTGGAACAAAACACCAAGAAAGATCGTGAGATGCAACAAACACTGGGGAAGTGTGGCTTCAAAACTAGAAGATGCATGTCCTAAAACATGCTTTTATTACTTAATCCGCATGCTGTCAGAAAAGATGGCTAGAGTTCCGGATCGGCGGGGTACGGGGCGGCAGCCCTGTGCAGCTCGAGCGTAGCGACGCTGCTTAATACACGAGAGTGAATGATGAAATCATATTTTCTACTCACAGAGAGAAACCATGGCTATGCAACAACAAACACAGAGTGTGGGAGCGTGGCTGACGCCGAAGGTGGCATGGCGCGTGACCAACAGACGGACGAGGCGACGGCGAGCCAAGGGGTCGTCGTCAACGAAGTTCGTTGACCAAAGTGGATACGACAGGGAATAATTTGGCCTTTGGACGAATCAGAACGCCCATCTAGCGAGCATTTGGTGCGAGCTCTGTATGATTCACTTGTAAGATGGGCGTTGACCGTTGACAGAGTGGAGCCTGCCTCCACGACTGGCTGACCTATGAGGATGTGGCCTGCTGGCCACAATCCGTTACCTAATCGGGACAAACTGGGTCAGTTTGGACCAACCTTGAAAGTACATAGGGAGGGCGGGAGCCCTCCTGGAAAGATGTTGGGGTGCGGCATTCTTTCTTCCTTTCTTTGCAGCAGCAAACAACAGCGGAGCGATAGCAGGGACGATACAAAGTAGGGGACCTTTTGTTCTTTTTTCTGTACCTGGGCGGCGGAGCATTGGAAGCAGCGGAGGGACGATGGCGAGCTCTGCTGTGGGAACGAGGTATGTGAGAGTTGGTGGATCAACTCCGGGCTTTGTGCCCGTGGAGGAGTTCATGTCCGCTGGGAGCGGGTACACTGGAGGAGAGCTGGGCGACACGGGAGTGGGAGCTGTCCCGGCCTGGGAAGGCGCGGAGGAGTATGAAGAAGACCGGGAGGGTTCTGAGGCGTGGATTGTGCCGCTTGGAGTGTGGCACGCGCTGAGAGTGCGACCGAAGGAGCAGAAGGAGGACATGGCGGAGCGTCTTTTGTCACAGGTGTGTGTGGTGCTGGAGGCAGCTGATGGTTCTCTTTCCCTGGCACGCGTGGAGCAGATGCTGTGGTCTGTACTGGCGCGATGGGCGCGGCAGTTGGATCTGGACTTGGTGTCCGTGGATCTACCTATGGGAGGTATGGAGCAGTCGGGGACGTTGACGAAGCCGGAGCTGATATTGTCGTATGTGGGATGTGCGCAGCATATCTTCCAACAACTGGAGGACAGTGATGAGCCAGGGCAGGCTTGGCACTGTATGTGTGAGGATCTTGCTGGGGAGCCGGAGGAGGAGCGCTGTGCTGGCCGTGTCTGGCAGCTGGTTCGGACCCACTGTAACCGGTATGGCATGGAGGCATGCGGTGCTTCGGGACAGAGCATTCTTTCTTCTATGGAGGAGAAGAGAGGCTTCCTTGTCTGGGGCCCAGCCGACGCTGTCGGGTTCGGATTCTTCATGGGCGCCATTGCTTTTCGCTTGCTAGCCGAGGCTCTCGAGGAGCCGGAGCTGGAAGTCATTTGTGGTGCTTGGCTAAACTTTTGCAGCAAGCATTGTTGCGGTGCTTATGACTGAGCGGCGCGGTGGACAGGTGAGGTGCCTGGGTGCACTTGTGCGCGGGATGTCGGCTGTGCTGACCGATGGCCTAGTGGACCTGTCGGAGACTGGTCGTGGTGAGCATGAGCTATCACGGGATAGTAGAATTCACGTCAGGTTGGAGGCGAGTTGTACGAGCCGTGCGACTTGGTCGATCTATGAAACGATGGAATGAAATGAATGAAATGACTAGTGGAACCAACAATGAACGAAGTGAATGACATGAAGTGAGAAGTGGAACAAAACACCAAGAAAGATCGTGAGATGCAACAAACACTGGGGAAGTGTGGCTTCAAAACTAGAAGATGCATGTCCTAAAACATGCTTTTATTACTTAATCCGCATGCTGTCAGAAAAGATGGCTAGAGTTCCGGATCGGCGGGGTACGGGGCGGCAGCCCTGTGCAGCTCGAGCGTAGCGACGCTGCTTAATACACGAGAGTGAATGATGAAATCATATTTTCTACTCACAGAGAGAAACCATGGCTATGCAACAACAAACACAGAGTGTGGGAGCGTGGCTGACGCCGAAGGTGGCATGGCGCGTGACCAACAGACGGACGAGGCGACGGCGAGCCAAGGGGTCGTCGTCAACGAAGTTCGTTGACCAAAGTGGATACGACAGGGAATAATTTGGCCTTTGGACGAATCAGAACGCCCATCTAGCGAGCATTTGGTGCGAGCTCTGTATGATTCACTTGTAAGATGGGCGTTGACCGTTGACAGAGTGGAGCCTGCCTCCACGACTGGCTGACCTATGAGGATGTGGCCTGCTGGCCACAATCCGTTACCTAATCGGGACAAACTGGGTCAGTTTGGACCAACCTTGAAAGTACATAGGGAGGGCGGGAGCCCTCCTGGAAAGATGTTGGGGTGCGGCATTCTTTCTTCCTTTCTTTGCAGCAGCAAACAACAGCGGAGCGATAGCAGGGACGATACAAAGTAGGGGAC